TGGATGCAGTTAAACATGCATAAATATACCTTATACTGGTATAGCTTATTCCCCTTCCCCCTTTTTATTCTAATGAAGAATCTGATGCTGAATGTTCCACTTCCCATTCTTCTATGATACAGTCTTCTTCGTTATTATCTAAAGTACATAGTTCGAAGGTAATACTGGTAGAGGACTCTCCTACCAATTTCCCCCCCCCCTCCAGAATTAGGCCTATTCTTGAAGTTGAGATATGTCTTGGCAAATTTCAGAGAACTTGCTTTTCTTTGATGTATTTTGTTTGCTGAAAAGTTCTGAAATTGTCAGTGATCATTTGCTGATCATTAATTTAAAAAACATTTTTTTTTTTTTTAGCTACTCCTGTTCAGAAACGGAGGCCTCACAGGTGGGAGCCCAGGTCGGATCCCTCTTACAGGCTACTGTTTTGGACTAGTCTAAGCTAGACCTCCCAGGCTAGCTTCCTCTTCCTGCCTGAGTCCACACAGCTGGAAAAAGTTGGGATAGGGGAGGCAAAGGGGGCAGCAGTGCCAGTCCATAGTCCAAGCCTGCAGTGGGGAGTTTGCCTGGAAAAGGAAAGGATCCCTGCACATAGGCTCTCCTGGCCCTAGCCTGGCAGCTGGGGGTCTGGCCTGGCTATGATCAGCCTCCCTTCTCTGGCTCCTGATATAAACACCAGGGTTTATATAAGTATAACTGCGTTGCTCAGGGGTGTGGATTTTTCACACCCTCTGAGCCACGTAGTTATACCAATGTCAGTTTGTAGTATAGACCTGGCCTCAATTACACTGGTGCATCCCCTGTACGCTGATCATTTCCCTGTTCTCTGAGGTAATCACTGCTTGTATTTCACTAATCACTATCAAAGTCACAGCTCACACACTATAGTAAGGGAACAAAATGCCTCTGCTTCTATTCCACTTCTCTGGTGTGGTGGGGTAGAGGGAAACATTTTTGTGGTGGGAGGGCACCCACTACTCCTTGGTGTCATTCCTGGTCCCATTGGTGCTAATGGAAACCCTGTGGGCAACAGTGAAACGATCATCTCTCTTTCATTCTATCTGCTGTCTGGGGAAATATATGGGTCTCAGCAACAGAGTTATTCAAGCAACCACTCCCAGTGGACTCTCACTGCTTTCTGAGCAGCCAGGAGGCTTGGGGAAGAGTAGAAAAGCGGATACCTTTCTTCTTCCTGGGGTGGGGATGGAGGAAACCATGAGAGAAAGCACCTGCTTCTTCTTCTTCTTCTTTCTTATAATTGTAGATATTTTTGGTGGGGTGGGGAAGGTGACTAAGTTCATCAAAGCACTTACTAGCAAGAGGGTTGGTCTATAAGATGGAGTGCCCACAAGTAACGTGTAGAGACAGCATCCTGGTAGGAATCACACTACCTTCCCATTGCCCATCAGCATGACCTTGCTCCTGGATTTGCTGGCAAGCCAGTCCCCACTTGCCTTTCATGTTGGCATCTAACTAGTAGATGTCTGGTGATTCCCAGTTGTGCTGCCAGCCCTGTATCTACCCTGCCTGGCAGGGATAATGCAAAAATTAATTTATTTCGAAAGGTCTTTGAGGATGGAAAACATATGTAAGTGCTCAATCATTGTTTGACTTCTCTTGAGGCATGTAACTTCTATTTGAAGTTTCAACTTCAGAGATTATATAATGAGTTGGTGCATTAATAGCCTTTTAAAATGAGCTTTGATTGCATTTTACAGAGCTTAGTCTTCTTGAACATAACACACCATTTAGTTTATACACAATTATTTTAAACAATGACTTTACATAACTGTTATTAATTACTAATCATATTTTCAAGAATCATAAGTATGCATAAAGAACCATACTTATGTTATTGATTAATTGATGATTAAATTATGTCTTTCTAATGTCTTCATAAATAATATTCTAGATGTAGTTTTGAGGTGTTCTGCTGATGCAGAGATAATGACTAAAAGCTGTTTCTATGGTAAAATTATGTTCTTTGTATGTAATCTTGAAGTGCCTTTCATAAGTGCAGGTACTTTTTTGAAATTTTGAACAGTAGAATAGCAAGTTGAAGTTAAAGGGTATTGGAAAACAGTTGAAAAACAGTGGCAAAATAGCCTATATCAGGGGTGGGTAAAGTTACGGTCCATGGTCCGGATTCGGCCCGCCAGCCATTTTAAGCCGGCCCTCAAGCTCCCGCTGGGGAGCAGGGTCTGGGGCTTGCCCTGCTTCGGCACTCCAGCCGGGGAGCGGGATAGAGTGCCGCTCCACGTGGCTCCTGGAAGTCGCTGCATGGCCCTGCTCTAGCTGGGGAGCATGGTAGGGAGCTGCTCCACGTGGCTTCCGGAAGCCACGGCATGGCCCTCCTCTGGCGCTTCAGCTGGGGAGCAGGGTTGGGGTCCACTCCACACAGCTCCCGGAACTGTGGCATGGCCCACCTCCGGCGCTCCAGTGGGAGCTGCAGGGGCGGTGCCTGTGGATGGGGCAGCGGGCAGAATTGCCTGGCTGCGTCTCCGTGTAGGAGCCGGAGAAGGGACATGCTGCTGCTTCTGGGAGCCGCTTAAGTTCAGTATCGCCCGGAGCCTGCATTCCTGAGCCTCTCCCCATTCCCCAACCCCCTGCCTCAGCCCTGATCCCCCTCCCGCCCTCCGAATCCCTTGATGCCAGCCTGGCGCACCCTCCTGCACCCCAGACTCCTCATCCCCAGCCCCATCCCAGAGCCTGCACCCCCAGCCGGAGCCTGCACCCCAACCCACTGCCCCAGCCCTGATCCCCCTCCCCCAGCCCTGATCCCGCTCCTGCCCTCTGAACCTCTCAGTCCCAGCCTAGAGCACCCTCCTGTACCCCAAACTCCTCATCCCCAGCCCTATCCCACAGCCCGCACCCCCAACTGGAGCCCTCACCCTCCCTGCACCCCACTCCCCCACCCTAGCCCGGGGCACCCCCCGCACACCCTGAACTCCTCATTTCTGGCGCCTCCCCGGAGCCTGCACCCTCAACCAGAGCCCTCATTCCCTCCTGCACCCCAACCCCAATTTTCTGAGCATTCATGGCCCACCATACAATTTCTATTCCCAGATTTGGCCCTCGGGCCAAAAAGTTTGCCCACCCCTGGCCTATATGCTTTTCAAGGATTGCTATTATTAATGTGATGACCTAAGGGGGTGTGTGTGTGTATGTATGTACGTACACAGATTTTTGTTTGTCCTCTTGTTATTAAACCAATGGAAGAATTAGTAGTTATGTGTATGAGAGAGAGAATGGGAAAGGTGCTATTAAAAATATATTTTAATAGGTTGTATTTGTGTAGTTTAAAGTGGTAAAATAAATGTCACTAAACTTCCTGAAAGGAATATGATACCTAACTCTTTGTAAATCACTCTGCAACTGATCATTCGACAAATTGCTTTCTTTTCTAAGAATATAGTCTTATTTGAACACATTGTGTAACTACATATTTGATGGGAAAAACTGTAGAGATGTACAATGTATACATTTAACTTCTGAAAAGTTGTGTTCGGTCTTTACGGTCCAAATGCTATGTCCCTGCTGAGTCCATTGGTTGAACTATATGACAACTTTGTCAGAAAGATAGCTGTCACTCTAATCTCCAGAATGCTTTCTTAGTAATGGTGTAGAAAACATTCTTTTGTCTTGTTTGGTTAGAGGAAACCCACTGGTAACTATTTTCAACACAAACTTCCTAATGTAGTCATGCATTGGGTGTGGACGGATGGGGAAAGAATGCCCTTTTCAGGATTCTGCATCTTTTAACAAGCCACTTTTTAGGGAAATGGAGTTGTATGAATGGCACTAAGAAATTATTAGATGCTGCAACCCATTGCCATTGCAAACCCTTGATGTTTTTGTCATTTTTTGGGCAGTGCACCCAAGTGCAGGTTGCTTCCATAGCTAGCTAACCCCTTAGCCATTTAATAATTTTCTGGCCATGGCCATAGATTAGGCATGTGATATTCATTCAGTCTTTTAAAATCAAGTTGTCTTAGATAAAGCTCGCTGGCCTTCTCTACATTAGCACTCTGAGCAATGCCACCAACAATGAAATTGCACTGCTAGAAGCATGCTGAGGAGAGGTGTGTTTTTTTTTTTTTTTTTTTTTTAAGAAAATGCTAATGTTGACAAAGCCGCTGGGTCTCCTATGTTAAGAGGAATATTTGTAAAGCATGACAAAGAATTTATTGTACTGAGAAGAGTGGTTTGTTCATAGCGCTGAATAAATGTATTGGTTTAAAGTTACATGTTAGTAGTCAAAACATTCCAGTGCAGTTTGGTCACTATGGCTGACCATAGAATCCCAGCCTGTCACATGGAATACTGCACATCCTACACAATGTGTATTCAACAGCAGTTATATATTCGGACACTGATGGAGTTCTGAATTTCTGTTGCTGTGTCTACCAGCAGCTACTTCTCTAGTGCACGTGCCTCTTATATCAAATAGTTTCTTCTCCAGCTTTTGTAGCTTACATAATCATGGTTTAATGTCTGTGTCTCACAGTATGATTCCACATCTTAAATCTCTGGGAGTCTTTTTAATAAAATGTTAGGGTGGATGTCAAATCATTTATGTTGCTATCTAGTTGCTCTAGTTTGAGAGACTGGAGCCTGAAATCTTGCAGCTGGGGGGTGATCCGGACTACACAATGTTACTGTGTTGGCACACGATTGTGAAGAATCATATTAGCCGTAGTCTATGCTGACTAACATACTCATCACTTTGTCAGCTAAGTATGACCAAACATCTTAGCTAATGTGGTTCTGAATACAATTTACAAACACAGTAAAACTTTGTAGTGAAGACAAGCTCTAATAGTCAGTGTATAGTAGTTTAATCATAGTGCTAAATGGGAACTTCGACAGTTGGGGTTACTTTATGTGAAAGGTTTTCAGTTGATCCAGATTGGAAATAAGGTTTTGGGAACCCATTTGAAACTTGGTCTGTAGTTCTCTTTGTTGACTTTTTTAATGCTAAAACTCAATTTTCTTTGATTCAGTAGAACTTGATTCTCCGCACTTTATATGACATCAAATTCTGGTACTGGAAGAGAGAAGCTGACATACTGAATAAAGTAAGCTTTAGTTTGTGTGTTTTCCTCTAAGTCTGTTGGGCTCTATTAACTTGTATTAAAGAAGTGCCAAGTCCCCAACTGAGATCAGGGTCTCATTGTGGTAGGCAAAATACAAACATAGCAAAAGACAGTTTGTGCTCCAAAGAGTTAGCTATCTAAACAGACAAGGCCAGTCAGCCTCACCTCAGTCCCTGGAAAAATCATGGAGCAGGTCCTCAAGGAATCAATTATGAAACACTTAGAGGAGAGGAAAGTGATCAGGAACAGTCAGCATGGATTCACCAAGGGGAAGTCGTGCCTGACTAACCTAATTGCCTTCTATGAGGAGATAACTGGCTCTGTGGATGAGGGGAAAGCAGTGGATGTGTTATTCCTTGACTTTAGCAAAGCTTTTGATATGGTCTCCCACAGTATTCTTGCCGCCAAGTTAAAGAAGTATGGGCTGGATGAATGGACTGTGAGGTGGATAGAAAGCTGGCTAGATCGTCGGGCTCAACGGGTAGTGATCAATGGCTCCATGTCTAGTTGGCAGCTGGTTTCAAGCGGAGTGCCCCAAGGGTCGGTCCTGGGGCCAGTTTTGTTTAATATCTTTATTAATGATCTGGAGGATGGTGTGGACTGCACTCTCAGCAAGTTTGCAGATGACACTAAACTGGGAGGCGTGGTAGATACGCTGGAGGGTAGGGATCAGATACAGAGGGACCTAGACAAATTGGAGGATTGGGCCAAAAGAAACCTGATGATGTTCAACAAGGACAAGTGCAGAGTCCTGCACTTAGGACGGAAGAATCCTATGCACTGCTACAGACTAGGAACCCAATGGCTAGGTAGCAGTTCTGCAGAAAAGGACCTAGGGGTCACAGTGGACGAGAAGCTGGATATGAGTCAACAGTGTGCTCTTGTTGCCAAGAAGGCTAATGGCATTTTGGGCTGTATAAGTAGGGGCATTGCCAGCAGATCAAGGGACGTGATCGTTCCCCTTTATGCGACATTGGTGAGGCCTCATCTGGAGTACTGTGTCCAGTTTTGGACCCCACACTACAAGAAGGATGTGGAAATATTGGAAAGAGTCCAGCGGAGGGCAACAAAAATGATTAGGGGTCTGGAGCACATGACTTATGAGGAGAGGCTGAGGGAACTGGGATTGTTTAGTCTCCAGAAGAGAAGAATGAGGGGGGATTTGATAGCTGCTTTCAACTACCTGAGGGGGGGTTCCAAAGAGGATGGAGCTCGGCTGTTCTCAGTGGTGGCAGATGACAGAACAAGGAGCAATTGTCTCAAGTTGCAGTTGGGGAGGTCTAGGTTGGATATTAGGAAACACTATTTCACTAGGAGCGTGGTGAAGCACTGGAATGCTTTACCTAGGGAAGTGGTGGAATCTCCTTCCTTGGAGGTTTTTAAGGCCCGGCTTGACAAAGCCCTGGCTGGGATGATTTAGTTGGGAATTGGTCCTGCTTTGAGCAGGGGGTTGGACTAGATGACCTCCTGAGGTCCCTTCCAACCCTGATATTCTATGATTCTATGATACAAAGGTTGTGGGAATGGAGGTACAAAGATGTGAAGTGACCTGGCCAAGATCACAGAAAAAGTTAGTGGCAGAAACAGGACCAGAACCCTGGTCCCCTGACTTGCAGTCCAGGACTCCAGTTACTTGACACACTACCTCCCAACACCCTGCTGAGATCCTGGAAGGAAAGCACTGTAGAACAACTATTATCTATCTGAAGTCTCCTCTTGTGTCAGATAAACAGTACCAGACTACAAAAATCCATCAACTGCATGTAAAATAATAACACTGCTCTACAGCCAAAATGCTTCTGAAATAAATGTAGTCAAACGTTACTAATTCTGGGTCACTGAGAACGAAAATAATGCTTAAAATTGTTGATTGGCTCTAGTTTTCAAGATATGCTATTGGGTCAGTATATACGACCCTTGACTTGGGAATGGCGGAGGATAAGTGAGTTATAAAGGGAAGGGATCTCAATTTAAACCAGAAATGACTAAAATACATCTTTGACTGGATCTATGAATAAATCTATGACTGGGTTTGGACAGTACTTGCTTTTTAGGCAAAACAATGAATGATGCAATCTGAAGCTGGTATTGCATCATACATGATATGAATTGCATCATGTTATTCCTAGAAGTCATGGATGATGCAATCATAACGAAGCTTACATCACTCTGCTGAACAAATTGCCCTACATCAGCTCTAGAAATCATACAGTGTCGTGCTCTCTTATTTGTCAGTGTTTGATTTTGCAAAGGGACACATTTCTGTTTAGCCAAAGTGAGCAGAGATGCCTCGTACTTGTGTGAACAGTGCAGATAACTTCTGCTATGTTTGTGGTGAAGTGACTTTTGCATCACAAAAGCGCAGTATAACCACTCTGGTTAAGAAAGGCTATCACCTTTATTTTGGCTGCAAAATTGGAGATCAGGACAAGAGGTGGGCCCCACACATATGCTGCAACACTTGTGCAACAAATCTTCGCCAGTGGTTGAACAGGAAAAGGAAATCTATGCCTTTTGCAGTGCCAATGATTTGGAGAGAGCCAACAGATCATACCAGCAATTGTTACTTCTGCATGGTGCCTCCAGTTGGGAAAGGTGTGTCAAAGAAGAAAAAGTGGACTGTGCATTATCCAAACATTCCATCAGCTATACGCCCAGTACCCCACGGAGACGGACTGCCGCTTCCTGATGCACCAGAATCATTCTCACTTGAGTCAGACGAGGAAGAGGATGAAACTTCTGGTCCTGAACCATCAATGTCACAGGACCCACATTTTCTCCCATCCTCCTCCTCTGAACCACACCTCATAACACAAGGTGAACTGAATGACCTTGTCAGGGATTTGGAACTACCCAAGAGTAAGGCAGAGCTGTTGGGCTCCAGACTACAGCAGTGGAATCTCCTGGCAGGTGATGTTAGGGTTTCCATGTTCCGTGACCGTCAAAAGGATCTTGTCCCATTCTTCTTCATGGAAGGTGATCTTGTAGCCTTCAACAACATCGATGGTGTGATGGCAGCCCTCAACATCGTTCACGATCCAGATGAGTGGAGACTGTTCATTGATTCATCAAAGACGAGTCTTAAAGCTGTTTTACTGCATAATGTCAATGTTTTGCCATCAATTCCAGTTGGTCATGCAGTCCATATGAAGGAAACCTATGACAACATGAAACAACTTTTGAGGTGCATAAACTATGACCATCATCAGTGGCAGCTTTGTGGCGATTTGAAGGTTGTTGCTCTCTTGCTTGGTCTGCAGACTGGATACACAAAGTACTGCTGTTTTCTCTGCGAATGGGATAGTCGTGCAAGAAATTCCCACTACATCAAGAACGATTGGCCACTCTGACAGTCATTGGAGCCTGAGAGGAAAAGTGTTCAGCATCCACCACTTGTTGAATCAAGGAAGATTTTGTTACCACCCTTACACATCAAGCTGGGTCTGATGAAGAACTTTGTCAAGGCCATTGACAAAACACAAGCAGCTTTCAAGTACCTCCGTGGAAAATTTCCAAGGTTAAGTGAAGCTAAGATAAAGGAAGGTGTCTTTGTTGGTCCTCAGATTCGTGAACTTCTTCGAGATGATGCATTTGACCATGCACTGCGTGGCAAGGAAAAGACGGCATGGAAAGCTTTCCAGTTAGTGGCAATACATTTTCTCGGAAACAACAAGGCAGACAACTACAGGTTGTTGGTGGAAAACCTCCTCAAGGCATACAAAAGCTTTGGTTGCAACATGTCACTAAAGATACATTTTTTGCATTCTCATCTAGATTTTTTTCCACTGAACTGCGGAGCAGTGAGCAACAAGCACGGCGAGCGATTTCACCAGGACATTGCAACAATGGAGAAACGCTATCAGGGCAAATGGAGCCCATCAATGCTTGCAGACTATTGCTGGACAGTGACAAGAGATGCTCCATTTAATGAATACAAGAGACAAGCCAAGAAGCGCCGAGTAGACACTGAATAGGACTAAACTATGTACATAATAGTTTTTTGCCTTTTGTTTCATAATAAATTTTATTTATATAACCCTTTTGCTGATTTTTAAAGTGTTACATAAACAGGACAGGTGAAATATTATCATGTAAAGCAACCATAAACACATGAAAAGACCTAGGTTTACAATTTATGATTAAAACTCTACTATCTACACAATATACATAGACATAAAATGTAAAAACTTAAATATCTTAGAAACAGTAGCCAATCAGTTGTTTTAATTGTCATATTTGAATTCAGCACATCAAAATACATAATAAATAGCACATTTTATCTCTGAAGCAGACGACTTCTCAAAAATTGTAGACCAGTGTAATTGGACTGCCAATTCCATGAGAACAATTTCTCTCATAAAACTTCTGATGCATCCGGGCAGAAATGGAATGGGAACAACCATTCATTCATTTATTTATTTGCTTGCTTGCCTGCCTGCCTGCCTCTTTTTTTTTTTTTTTTTTGGTGTGTGCAGTATTTTAGCAATTTTAACTCTAGTCCCAGCCAGGAACTAATTATCTGATTTTGAATTGGGTACAGGTTTGGGTGAAAGACAATCTTATTGTATTGAAACTTATACTCTATCCCTAATAGAATGAAACTACAATATCAGTCCAAGAGAGTAAAATGAAATAAATTGTCTTGTTAATTAAAGTTTATTCCTATTAAGCTTCCAGAGCAAGTAGACTCAGATACTGCTTTTAATGGAAGAGTCTCCCAATTTTTAAAAATGAAGCTATATTGAAGACTTGTGTTCCCAAAAGTAGGCCTACTTTTTTCTTCTTTATTTGAAAGTTCAAATATCTAATTTTAATTTTTGTTCTGAATAAACAATTGCTGGTTTGTATTTTAATGCTGCTTTTTGTTTTTATGTAATAATAATAATAAACCTTTCAAAAAGGAGGTGATTATGCTTAATTATTTACCTAAGGATACTTCACTGCAGGGCTTGGAAAATGTGCTTGGCATTAGCAAGCAGGAA